TTATATATTTATATATATTTTATATATTTATATTGTTACGAATTTGACCAGATTAGCAATGGAACGTTTACATATTATTTAATTATTATGTCAATTGATATTTTTAAAGTGAGTTGGAATTAATTTGAGTGAAGCTGTGTTTCCTAAATTTGCTCCTAGTAAAATACTAGTTCTTTTTAATACTACAAACATAATAAAGTATAGTTTCTCTAATTAAAAAGTTTTGTTTCATTTTTATAAAATCCTGTGATTCGAACGTACACGCATACAGACGATTACGTAACATTTGGTGTCAGAAATGGGATTTTGTAAAATGGTGAAATTGGAAGAATTGACTGCGGTTCAACTGAAAAAGCAGAACTGCAGGTGAGACTTCGTGCGGCGTTGGAGCCTAATGGCATAAAAGGGTCAATCAATGATGTTGTTTATCGAATTCAACAGTCGGAGTATCATAGAGCTCGAATGAAAGTGGTGCATCTGGAACGGCTGGCACCTTATTGCAACGATATGGTAATACCTGTTCGGGACGAACAGATTTAAGAGGAGGGCAATGTTACGAATTTGATCAGATTAGCAATGAAATGTTTAAATATTATTAAATATTATTTAAACATTATGTCAATTGATATTTTTAAGAAAGAAGTTAGTGTTGAAATTTGTTTTGAGTGAAGCTAAATTGGCTCCTAGTAAATACTAGTTCTTTTCAATACAACAAATATAATAAGTATAGTTTCTCCAATTTTTAAAGTTCGTTTCATTTTTATAAAATCCTGAGATACGAATAAACACGCAGGCGATTACGTAACAATATGTATAAGGTTGTAAATTTTAAATATATATCTTAACTCATATATTTGTTCACATTAGGAAATTTAGAATAGGCGTATATAAGACGAGTTTGGAATTGTTATTTTTATTAACAATTGGGGTGATTTAGTCCATCTTAGAGTGCTGATAGTTTACGTATGTGTACGCAATATATATTACATCAAGAGATCTTGTTTAGGCTATACCATTTGGTTTAGCAGAAGCAAGGTTAGGGAAATATATGGCATTTCTAGTCAAAATTTGGTTATTTTTGAGATATGCTCATCCGAAAAATATAAAATTCAGTTAAATTTTATTCAAACCATCCATACCATGTAGTGCAAAATACAGCAAAAAAAATATGATAAAAAGAGCACTACATCTAACCGATTCAACGTTCCATCATAATGATTTAGAAAATGAATTTCGAAGAATTTTAAAGACAAAAGATTTTGTCTCTTCCATTGTGGAAAAGATTATCAAAAATATGAATAACAGGATAATATTATTAATAAGAATAACAAAATATATGAAAGTATTGTACACATACCGAAATTTTCTAACAAAATATTGACATCTAATATATATCATATGACAAATTAAATGATATCACACTAAGATCTGGAAACATAATGAACGCATGATTCTCAAACTTAAAAAACGAAATACATTACTTGGATAAATCAAAGGTAATATACCAAATCAACTGTAATGGTAACGGGTACGACACATGTGAGTAGGTGATTTTGGGACGATCTAAAATAAATTAAAAACAAGAATGACTGGGCACAAACACAGCATAAAAAATAATACACACCATGAGCCAAGATTTAGAAAATGTGAAAATTCTATAAACCTATTGCCCCAAACAAACCCCTAAACTCACAGTGGAACAGCTATGCTGGTGAACTTGCTTGATGGGGTAGAGTGAAACTTAATAGCGAAATCCGTACCAGGTCTGGCAAACCTACAGTTTCAATTTGTCCTTCCCATGGAGGCGCTCGTGGGTGATCAACCTGCACGGTTTTTCAAAACTTCGTTTTGTATGGATCCAAATATATTTAATTCTATGGACTGCACACCTTGTAACGACACTTTCTTGGAGTCGTTTTCATTTGCTGGGATATCCTTAGCTTTTCCAGGATCGTTGCAATCAATTTTATATATAATTAAAATCTCAAAAACACGCTTAGGTTTTATATATTTTCTCTGTATTTTATTATTTAGTATAATTAAATAGAATTTGAAGTGAATAAATACTGTGCAGGTTCAGATTAATTTCAAAAACAGCGGATTCAATCAAGGTGTAGATTGAAGAACGCTGGTTGTCTCTTTCAAATGATCTGTACTGATAGGAATTCAGCAGGATATCTGTAGAGTTTGTACTTGATGTTCAGTCGTTATTCGAATGTATAGATTACTCGAACGTTGTGATTCACTATGGTTAACTTAGGTATGTATTTTCTTAGATATTTCTTGATGTAGAACTATCCTTTATATATGTATTCTGCGAAATTGTACTATTTACAATAGACGTAATTCGACTACTTGAAACAATATAATTCAACTTTGTGTTAACAATTCTTGATGTAGAATTAATTTTATTTATGGACTTTTATTTTTTACTAGGTGTATATGCCTTAGTGATTCTATGCCAAGTCTCCTGCATAAGAAAAATGCGCGTCTTATATACACATTTGACCGAGTTTTTGTGTAGCGCCTTAATTTTGTTTACGGCTGATAGTACATTATTCTTGTTTACTTTGCCGTTTATTGATTTTCTATTTCATGTTGTGTGCGGTACTCCGCATGTGCACTTAACTTCTCTTTGAGCCTCTCTTACGACGAATATTTTGGTGGTTCTTGTTTCTTATTTCGATATTCTGTTGTTTTGATTTGCTTTTCGTAAAACGTGTAGTTTCGGTGGTGTCTTGTTTATTTATAAATTTTATTTTATTTAAAATGTATTATATTAATAAATTAAAAAAAATATGTATGGACGGTATATATTTTCTTCAATTAATATTTATTTTAATTTCTTAATTTTAATTATTTTATTTATTTCAATTACAATTTAGATAACTTAACCACAATTTTGATGGGTGCTGCAGGGGCGAACATTGGTAAGTGAACATAACATAACTAATATATATATAAACAAATTTTTAATCTAATTTAAATTTTAATTTCAGTCATCTACAGAATTTGCTGGTGAGTTTTCTATGTGTAATCGTAATGATAGTGCCATATGTTCTAGTGATGGGTGGAAATTAATTGTAAATTTCCATCCTTACAATCTTTAAATGTGCAAAATACGGTTTTACACAGCTAAAACTCATCACTGGCCAAGGGGGTACCTGGTGTCCCACGACTTGTTGAAGGGGACACCTGGTCCTTTGCCCGATAATTTGGAGGAGATGGATATTCCACTTAGCCAGGAGTCGTCTGGAATGCCTATTTCCTCGGAACAGGAGAGAGCCTGATCCAACTAAAAAGACTAAAACAAGGGTGTAGCTATCCGGCACTGGACGCAAGAGGTTGAAAGCTTTACTTGCCAAGGGCAATCCACTGGAAATAGCACGGTTTTTGGCAGTAAAGCCGGCCACC